GCTCTGGTTTCACCTATGAAAGGTGTAATGGGGTTCAGAAAGAAGGGCAAGTTGAGCCCTAGGTATATCGGACCCTTTGAAATTCTTGAAAGGGTGGGTGAAGTATCCTACATGCTCGCACTACCACCTAGTTTATCAGCAGTTCATCCGTTGTTTCATGTATCCATGTTCCGAAAATACCATGGTGATCCGTCCCATGTATTAGATTTCAGCTCAGTTCAATTGGACAAAGATTTGATTTATGAGGAGGAGCCGTCCCATGTATCAGTTTTTATTGGACAAAGATACTATGGTGATCCGTCCCATGTATCAGTTTTTATGTGAAAAATTGATAAAAACGTGATAAAGATATTTAAAAGTCATTTGAGTTGACTTCGGTCAACATTTAGAGCAAAGAAACCCGGATCAGTATTTTGATAGTTTTGGTATGTATGTATCGTGATTTGGGACTTGGGCGTATGCCTGAAATTTAATTTGGAGGTCCCTAACTTGAGTTATCGCCATTTATTGAAAATTGAAAGTTTGAAAGCTTAAAGATTCAAAAATTTGACCGTGAATTTGACTTTATTGATATCAGACCCGGAATGAGATTCCGAAAGTTGGAATAGCTCCGTTATGTCATTTATGACTCGTTCGCCAAATTTGAAATCATTCCGGATTCATTTAATACGTTTCAGAACGAGTTTTGTAAAGTGAAAAGTTTGAAACTCATAAGTCCGAATCGAAGTGTGAATTGTAATTTTGACGTTATTTGACGTGATTTGAGACCCCGAGTAAGTTCGCATTATGTTACGTGACTATTTGGTATAATTGGACGAGGTCCCGAGTGGCTCGGGTAAGTTTCAGACCATTTTGATAAATCATTGAAGGTCTGGTTCTAGTATTTCACACATGCATAATTTTGGCCGCAGGTGCGTGATCGCTTTCTGCGGAGGCAGTGTTGCTTCTGCGACTTTGAGTCCAGGGGAGAATCTTCGCTTCTGCGAAGCTTGGGACGCAAGTGTGCGCCCGCTTCTGCGGTGCCATGATCACAGATGCAATCATCCTCGCTTCTGCGACGCGAAGGTCCGCAGATGTTATCTTCTGCTTGGTTGACCTATTCCGCAAATGCGAGCCTTGTCTTGCAAATGCGACTCCACAGATGCAAAAATGACAGAATACATAAAATCGGATGTTAGTCATTTTTGCTCATTTTTAAGTTTTTAGTCTCGGATTTGGGAGATTCCAAAGGGTTTTTCACGACTTCGACTTGGGTAAGTGTTCTATACCCGAAAGCGATTATATTTCATAAATCCATATTTATGTTCATCGTTTATTCCGGATTTAGATGGAAGTAATTAAAATTTTAGTAAAACTTTCCAAAAAAGAAAATTTAGGATTTGAAAGACAATCCGATGTCGGAATTCGATAATTTTAGTATGGCTGAACTCGTATCGGAACGGGTGTCCGGATTCCGTGATGTTTTCGTCGGGTTTCGAAAAGTGGTCCCACATTGACTTTTGGTTGACTTTTCCGAAAATGACCTAACCTAAGTCTCTTTTGAAATGTGAATAATTTCTACAGCTCCAATTGAATTGTTGGTAAATAATTTGATATGTTTGATTGGTGTGGAGACTAATTCGAAAGGAAAAGTTGTGGTCGAGTGATCATTTGAATTGAGAGGCAAGGTAAGTATCGTGGTTACCCTTGACTTGAGGGAATAGAACCTTTAAATTATTTGTTTCGTGAATTTCATGTGTAACGACGTATAGATGAGGTGACGAGTGCCTATACGTTGTCAAATTGATTGTTTGCATAATTATCTAAAAATAATAGATTATTTTAAATCATGAATTAATTCTCCCATATTCCTTGTCTAATATTATGTCTTGAATTCATGCTATAATTGCTACATGCTTATTTGAATTATGTGTCTTAGTTGCCACTTGATATTTAGCATATTAAATATTAAATTACCTATTTTCTCCTTAATTTTCGCAATTAATTACTATTTGTCATTAATTGTTTCCCAAATAAATCATAATTATTGTATGCTTTGTTGCCTAATAATTTTCTATTAAATGTGGTATTTATTGGAGTATTTTTATATTTAAGATTTGTTAAATTATATTTTTGGAGCGGGTTGCACGCCGCAACGGATTTATTTTAAGTTTATATTGTTGGAGTGGGTTGCACGCCGTAACAAAATTATTGAAAGTTTATATTGTTGGAGCGGGTTGCACGCTGCAACGACTTTTTATTGAAAGATTATATTATTGGATCGGGTTGCACGCTGCAACGAATTTTATTCTAAGTTTATATTGCTGGAGCGGGTTGAACGTCGCAACGAAAATTAATTGAAGGTTTATGACTGTTGAATTGACTTCAATTATTGATATGATTTACTGGTCTTACTTCTNTTATTATTATTGCGTACATATTAATGTAAGCGACCTGCCTTAGCCTTGTCACTACTTCGTTGAGGTCAGGCTCGACACTTACAGAGTACATGGGGTCAGTTGTACTCATACTACACTCTGCACTTCTTGTGTAGATACCAGAGTTGGTCCCAACGACGTACTGTAGATTCGTTCGAATTTAGCTATCAGAGGAGACTTGAGGTATAGTTGCACGACGTTCGTAGTTCTGAAGTCCCTTTATACTTTATCTTAGCTGTGTGCTTTCTCTCAGACAACTTTATTTTTATTCAGACCCTTGTTTGTATTATTTTAAAAGCTCGTGCACTTGTGACTACAGTTCTGGGATGGTATTTAGATATCGTTATCATTTTGATTTGTTTACTATAATTCAGTCATTATTCCAATTGTTTGGTTTCTTTACTATTTAATTAAGATGAATTTTATTAAAAATGGTTAAAATTTATTCTAACGTTGGCTTGCCTAGCAAGTGAAATGTTAGGCACCATCACGGTCCCGAAGGTGTGAATTTCGGGTCGTGACAATAGATTTGGTTGAAACTTAAAAAAAAAAAAAAATTTGAAGATGATTTGAAAAATTCTTTTTGAAAATTAAAATTTGTATTTGGACATGCATTTTACTTGAAAAGAATGTGAAGCTTGTGAGTAAAAAACTTCAAAAACTACTTTAAAATTGTTTTTGGATTTGAAGTTTTGTTTACAAAATCTACCAAAAATATTTAAAATCTATAAACAAATAAATATTAGAAAATAAAATTTGATAAAAAACTCCCAAATTCTGTGATCAAACGGAGCTGAGAGTTCATGAATTGTAGTTGGGAGACCAATATCAGGTCTGTCTTTTGAAGCTAGCACTATTACCTTTGCTGAATTGCTCACTCTTTCTTTATTCAAATGTTAAATAGTCAAGCAATCGCCAGTGACATAAAGGGGAGCTTTTGTTTTTTTGATTTTCAGTTTTCACTTTAATTCTTTTGACATCAATTATTTATATGCACTGTGCTAAATAAAAAAGGAATTGACCATAAGTAGAAGTCGCCCACAAAAACAGACAAGATTGGTCTCACGAGAATGATTGCAAGCACAGCTTTCTCGGAAATCAATTAAAATTTTGCCTCGTGGAATATCTCGACTAGTTTCTTTGCAAAAGAAATCATAAACACATTCATAAACCTTCTTAATTAAATGATAATTAAGGATTAAATGATAATTAAGGACTCAATCAACATCAACATTAACCACACAACATTGTGATAGAACATATATGATCACCTCGCCCTAGAGATATCAAATTCAAACTTTAAGATTAAATTTTTTTTGATAAAAATATTTTTCTCTTTAATGAACTTTACGCGGCTCTACACAGGATTAGTCCTTTTCTTTCTTTACCCTGCCTCTTCTTCTTTCCTAATATCTTCATCCATTTTTCCTTATCCTTTCCTCTCTTTTTTTTAAAGATAAGATAACCTTTCTCATGTTTCCATCATGTCTTTTTATTGCAAGAATCCGGGAAGCTCAAACTGTGTGAGTGGATGTTCGTGTATTGGTTTTAAATTATGTAGTAGACTAAGAATTTTTATTATATCAGTGCAAATTTAACTAATTAATAAAAAATTAATAATCCCCATTTAATTTATTAATTCACGTTTGTTATTGACTTTATTCATAAAATTAACTTTTATGTAATTTAGTACAGCTTATATATGCTTTTAACGAAGATTTGGTTATACTTGTTTTTATTCTTTTGTTAGATTAATTTCAGCTTTGTAATAGTAACCGCGGAAAAGGTCCATTCATACCAGCGAACTATACGAAATTGTACACATTTGTCCGTCATTAAAATGTGGACTCAATCATGTCCTTGCAACGTATAAGGTGGCTCACATATGTCATTTTCTAGATAGAATACACCATATTATGACACGTATCAAAATCTGATGCTAAATATTTTATTAGTGAAGTCCATCTAAAAAATGGCAGAATTGAGTCCATTTTTAATGAAGCAAATATATACATTTTCGTATAGTTAACCGGCATAAATGTACCTTTTCGGTAGTAAATATACTAGCTAGTAGTCCTAAGACTCCTAGTTGCACTTTCTTATGCCTATTAATTGGTATATACAGTATTAACTCCTGGTGGCAATTTCTTATTCATATTAATTTTATAGTCACATCTTTTTATAATAATATCTTTATATAATAATTATTTACTATAAAAGTAAAATTTATTTTCGGAACCGATCTTTTATATTATATATATATATAATATATGTCTTCTATAACAATACTTCATTGTAATATTTAAAATATATCGGAACAATATTTCGAATTCAAACAAACAAAAAAAAAGGAGCAGAAAACCAGAAAACAGTACTGCCGTCACCTTTTTACACCAGAAATTAAACTAGAAATATCCTTAGTTTGTTTCCTAGTTTGTACATACGCGGCAAACATGGAAAATATATCAACTATGCTTTTTGTTTTTAAAAATCATTTGACCTGAAGATTATAATGCTTTCGCACCTCGTTCGTTTCACCTGAATATCATGTATATATAGTCTCCCATATCTCTTCTTATTCTCTTCATCACTTCATTAATTTGTTTCATCCCAAATATACAAAAATAACTACTGTATAATATGGCTTTCAAGATTACCTTGAAAACTATTATACCTAGTTGTTTCAAGGTTAAGATTGATGTACTTCCTTTAGAGGACAAGAATAATATTGTTCAAGTTTCTAAAAATAGTAATACTAATTGTGGTAATTCAAGGCTAACTCTTTCAGATATAAGTGATCCTGAATCATCACTTTCTATAAGTGATCTCTCATCAAATGCTGTCATTGGATCCAACCTTCATATTTTCACACATTCTGAACTCAAAGTTATGACAAGTAACTTTTCGTCCTCTAATTTTCTTGGAGAAGGTGGATTTGGTCCTGTGCACAAGGGGTTCATTGATGATAAAATTAAGCCTGGTTTAAAAGCTCAACCTGTTGCTGTTAAACTTCTGGATTTGGAAGGTTCTCAGGGCCACTTAGAATGGCTGGTGAGCAAAAATATTACTACCTTTGTTTTAATTATGTGTTTTACTTTCCTTTTTAATATGTTTCGAAAAGAATGTCTTTTTTTTATATTTATTACTCCATCCGTTCACCTTTATTTATCCACTATACTATATATTTTTATTTTTACTTATCAATTTTAGCAAATCAAGAGAAGACCATATTTTTTCCCCTGTTTTGCATGGATTATTAATTACTACTTTTACAAATTATTTTCTAATTAGACTTCTCAAAATACTATTATTATACGGGTATTATGATAAAATTTGTATTTCATCTATTATTTCTTAAGGAGCGTGCAAAGTCCATTGCGAACAAGTAAAAGTGATCGGAGGGAGTAACTTTTAACTCTAACATTTCACATGGCATATTTAAGACCACAAGATTCCAGTAGTTTTGATACATTACACACATTTTTAATTTAAAAACAAAAGATTCAAAAGTGATTCTTAATTTTCTTAAACTTTATGCTTAGTCAAACTAAGATACATAAAATGAAACCGAGGGAGTATCTTTTGTTTTTGTCATTTTGAGCACTAGAGTATATATTGTCTTTTTTCTACTTAGTTCTTTCCAATAACTAATAGCACTAGTTTAATACTTGTTGTGCTTTCAGACTGAAGTAGTATTACTTGGGCAATTAAGGCATCCTAATCTAGTGAAGTTGATTGGTTATTGCTGGGAGGATGAGCAAAGGCTTCTTGTTTACGAGTACATGGCAAGGGGAAATCTGGAGAACCAATTATTTAGAAGTATGTATCTCATTTTCTTATAGTATTAGAATATCAACAATTTTGTGAATACTTTTTTCTCCATTAAAAGCTTTCACTTTCTTTTTCCAAAAAGCAAAATTAAGAAGAGAAAAAAAGAAAGGAAGAGAGCTGATTGGTTCATGTTGGGCGGGTCAGATTTTGACTCAATCAATCTTTTGACGGGTTGAACAAACCCGCCCATTTTCCACCTGCTAATACTTGATATATATGGACACTTGATCAGTAGTTGAGGAAACAAAGTAATTGGCCCCTTTTAAGCTAAATATCTTTTTTTTAATACTCCCCGTTTAGTTGAGATAGTTTGACTCGACACGGAGTTTAAGAAAAAAGAAGATTTTTGAAATTTGTGGTATTAAAAGTTTAAGGGGTAAAAGTTTTGTGGGGCCATGACATTTGTCTGGTTATAAAAGTTTTTCATTAAGGTTAAAATGAATGTTTAAAGTTGAATTATTTCCAAATTTAGAAATATATCATTTATTTTGAAACAGACTAAAAAGAAAAGTACCTTATCTAATTTGAAACGAAGGGAGTAATAAAGAATTAATCTAAATAGCTGCCCACTCAACTTTTTAAACTAAACCTAGTCGGGTGATGTTATTATACGTATAATTTGTAAGTATATAACGTGTGCGGCCATAAGTAGAACATGAGCATGACCCTGTATGAGATAATCCACCTCTCTATCTCTGAGTCTGCTGCTTGGCCGCGCCTATAATAGCATATGATTATTCCCATTTGTGACCGACGTTGGAGTTGGTTAGGATGAAGCGTAAATAGATATAGCAAGTGTGCCGGGAATGCGGCTCGGGATAGTAGGTATGGACACGGGACACCTACCATGAAAGAGCCTTCTCTGGTAGTAGCAAACAATATTAGTTAATCTATGTATATTGATTAGAAAAAATAAACAGTAAATTCGACTGAGTATTTGTGTAAAGATCTCATCTTTTTTGGCGACTGACTGCAGGATGTTCGAGTAGCTTACCATGGTTGACCAGATTGAATATTGCAGTAGATGCTGCAAAGGGGCTAGCTTTCTTGCATGGGGAAGAAAAACCAGTAATCTACAGAGATTTTAAGGCTTCTAACATCCTCTTAGACTCGGTAATAATTTATCATTGTTAAAATTTACTCTCTATTTTAACTATCCTTTTTAGACCATGGTATTATAAGAGGCTAAAAAATTAAAATTTGAATTAAATATCAGGATTATACGGCTAAACTTTCTGACTTTGGACTAGCAAAAGATGGTCCAGAAGGTAGTGATACGCATGTCACAACTCGTGTTATGGGCACTTATGGCTATGCTGCTCCCGAGTATATGATGACAGGTAAATTTATTCATACTTATGTATATATAAATGTCTTTTACAATAGTGACGGACTTAGGATTTTTAAGTGCTGCTAATTACAAAAGATTGCTCCGATTAATTTATTTTTATGTTATGATACTAGTTTTAAAAATGTAATGCTTGGACAAAAAACAGTAGTTTGATTGAGCACCTAGTAACGTCTATTTAGGTCGGCCATTATTAAAGTTTTCATACAGCCATTAATCATAAGATCATATTTTATCCAAAATATACTTTATCTCTCTTCTAAATGTCTTAATTGAATAACATTAATTTGCACTAATTTGAGTAGTAAGGTGAATTTGAACGGGAAAAAACGGTAATAGATACTTCTTGTTTTTCTATAAAATGTTAAATTTTTTAGACCAATTTAATTTATCAAAACAAATAATATTTGAAGCTGAAAGGAGTACAAAACTTTCATGAAACTTGGGTGTGGCGTAGTGGGGAGATAGAAGCCCAGATACGAGTTTAGTCGAACTCAAATTTTTTTTTCTCAAATAGTATATTTGTGCTAAATAATTTATTAAATATGTATATTAGAACCTGATTATTAGCACTTGAACTTGTTGTTCTAAAGTTCAAAACTCATAAAGTAGAAAGTTTGGCTCCGACTCTGTGTGGACGTGGCAGATTATTTAACCTTTTTTCCTATTCTTTTTAATAGGTTATTTGACAAGTAAGAGCGATGTGTACAGTTTTGGAGTCGTCTTATTAGAATTACTAACAGGACGACAAGTTATTGACAAGAAACGTCCTAGTAGAGAGCAAAATTTGGTAGAATGGGCAAGGCCATTCCTCAAAGATTCACACAAGCTTGACAGAATAATGGACCCCAGACTTGAAGGTCAATACTCAACTCAAGGAGCCAAAAAAGTGGTTGCATTGACTTATCAATGCTTAAGTCAACAGCCAAAGTCTAGACCTACTATGACCAATGTGGTCAAGATCTTGGAACCTATCTTGGACTTAAAAGATATACCAATTGGTCCATTTGTATATGTGGTTCCTTCTTTTGACTGTAAAAGTGGATTGAATAATGGTGGTTTGGAGAAAAAGAAGGGTGAAGAAAAAGAGGAAGAAAATAAGGTGAACATAAGTGATCAAGATGAAAGAGGAATTAGTGCAGGAGAAAAGAAAGAAAACGGTTGTAGGCAGTGCAGACTTGGCCACATGAAGCAAAAGAATCAACTAAAGTCTGCTATTGTATACTCAGATACTCATCTGTATGGGACTTTAAGGCACGAATTCAGATAGTCCATGTAGAAAAGAAAAAAAAAGGGCAGCCTTGTGCACTCAGCTCTCATTATGTACGGGGTTCGGGGAAGGATCGGATCACAAGAGTCTATTGTACGCAGCCTTATCCTGCATTTCTTTTTCACGGCTCGAACCCATGACATCCTGGTCACATGACAGTAATTTTATCAGTTACGCAAAGGCTCCCTTCAGATAGTCCAGGTAGAAATTGAAAAATAAAACCTAGGAATTACAAGAGAAAAGAAAAATCACGGCGACCGCGCATACCAAGGTGTGGTTGAATTATAAAGGGTTCTTTCAATCTCAACCACAAATATTCTCGAGTTTGAACGGTTGGAATGAAGTTATCTTTAGCTGGGATCACTAAAACTCTATATATAGTTGGCTTTTTACAGTGTATTTGTGTGAATCTTGATTAATCGAGCTGGAGAATTTCGGATACCGGATCAAAGAAAAAAACCACAGCGCATTGTTGTTAAGTATGTGTTTGTTGATTGCATGCATTGTTTGTTTGTTTCTTAATTTATTCAAGAAATTTGAATTATCATTTTAGCTAGAATTTTCTTTTGACACTTTGAAACAATTGTTCACAAAAAGTCTCCAAAATTGTTAGTAGTATATTTTTGAAAGCTTTTAAACTTGTAAAAGAAGACAATTCTTCACTTTTTTCTTATTACTTTGGTCAAGACTCAACAGGTAGAATGTGGTATAGACTCAACGGTTGGTGAGGTTTAATTAGGCCCAAGGGCGGATCTACTAAGGAGGAATGGGATGGCACGCCACCCGCACATCTCGGTCGAATCACCATATGTATATGTATGTATATTATAGAAATTGGTATAAATAAGTTTGTGGCACCCGGAGTAATAAAGGATTGCTTGGTGCAACTGGCTCATGGCTTACAGATTCACCTTCTTGGCCTGGAATCGAGCCCAGGCTATTGCCTTTTCTTCAATTGATGCTGACTCTTTTTTCCTTATGAGTTTCTATTAACTTTTTAAATTTTATAAGTTTTTTCTTCTATTCTGCCCTTAAAAAAAAAATTAGTGTTTGTTAAGTAAGTTTTTGCTTTGAGTATCTACATATGTACCTATAGCAAGTTTTAGTCCTATTTTTCCATCTTTTAGTCAAACCTTAACTTTAGAATATGAAAATTTGTCGAATACAATTGTAAATGAATAATACTAATTTTTGTTGATATTAGTTATATTATTGAAATTTTATGCTTTGCTCGCCATAATTATTAAATTATTTTATTTGATCGATTTGTCTATATAAATCAAAAAGGCGAGAACCCGAACCGAAACTCAAAAGAGACTAAGTCAAAGTTCAAAGAAATATGGTACCCGAAATCTTCAAATCCTGGATCCGCCTCTGATTATGCCCTATTTTTTCAGTTCCACTTGTTGGAAGTCTTAGCATTGTAAGTTGTAGAAGAATTGACTGCGTCACTATCGTAATAATTAAACTGCAAATTTTCTTTTCTGCAATGAAAAGAAGTCAAATTACATATTTTTTCTTAAATTAGCCGTCATCGTTTATATAACTGCGTTGTATATTCTATTACTGCTTTAGAAGCCATGTTCATAAGTTAAATCCCATCCAAGTTTCATTTCTACATAAAAAAATTATTATTATTATATAGTCAGCAAAAGGGAGTAAAATAGCAGAATCGTTGACAGGGAACTATAGTAATAACTTACCCAATTTATTGTATATATTTTCACGATCAATGATTGGACCATGCAACTAAAATGTTTTTTCTTGGCTAAAGAAAGAGATTACTCGATATCACAAATTTAAAGCGTACAAATTGCAATAATTAGGATTGATAATTGAACACGTTTGTTTAATGCAAGTTATAAACTAAAAGTGCCAATAAAGCCAGGTAATAATGCTTACAAACTTTGCACAATTAGGGCAGATAATTATGCTAAGTGGCATTAGACAAGTAATTATGAGATTCCACTTTAATTCCTATATGTTTCTGTTGCACTCTTCCAATTATAATATACTCAGCAAACTTGTGCGGAACAGCTGATTACAGAAAAATTAGTGAACGTGCAAATATACATTGTAACCTAATTTCCAAATCAGCAATTCTTCTCAAATGTGATTATCGTGCCCCAACAAGTAGAGGTGTATCCTTTATTTTGAAAGCTAATATAGGGGTTAAGTGGACCAATAGACACTTTTAGAACTGTTATTTAACATATAGTTATTAGAACCAACTTAAAAAGGTGCAATACCATGTTATTTTTCTTAAATAAGCCGTCATCACATACTCCCGCTTAGAACTCCTTTAGCATTCATGTTTTTAAATTAAAGGCCAAATACCTAGATAGCCCCTTAAACTTGGCATATTTTGTAAATTAGTCTTATAAACTTAAATTAAAGTGACCGGATAGGCACTAGAACTCGTTCCCAATGTATCTTTCAAACATAAGTGTCTGATGTGGCAGATTGCGTGTCTCAAAGTAAATACTGAGCGCGTGAAAATATTTTTGTTAACTTTTTATTTTTATTTTATATATAAAAAAGCCTTAAAATTTCAGTCATCTTCTCCGGTGAATACTTGATCGGAAAAAATGGCTCATCTCCCCTATTAAAATCCAAATAGAAACCAAAACCACTTCACATTCAGTTTAATAGATATCTCAAAAATTTAGAATTGCAAAATTAAACGCGAAACCCAGACCAAAACGAAGATTATTTGTCAGTGTCTGATTTCTGTTTGACTTCTGCGATGCATCCCGTCGGATAAGATGCTTCGCCGGCATTTGATCATTTTATTACATCACCCCTTTGACAAAAAGAAGCCATAGGAATTAGGATATCCACTGTACATTTGAGGCCCACCTCCACCATACACAAATATAATTCTTTCTAGTGTTAATTCAACTACTATTTTTTTTTTCATTCACAAAGACAACACACAGAGAAACAATCTTGTTCGTGATACACACAACTAGAGCACGACACACTCACATAAATCTCCATTCACAAAGAAAAATGAGAGTCACTATGAGATTAAGAGAAACACCGAGTGTAATAAGTATAATTGTGTATTCTCTTTCTCATACTATATAATTAAACTAATACAAAAAAAGAAGAAGGAAGTAAACACATGAGAGAAGGAACAATAATTGTATCAAAAATAAAGATGGGGAAGGGTTGGGGACAAGGGAGGGGACGACCTGGGGTTTGGGAAAAAATCAATCCTTTTACTAATTGTATTTTTTTTGTTACACCCAATTACACGTGGCATTCAATAATTGGATTACTTAAGCAAGTGTATTTCATGCATTTGGTCTTATGAATACGGGTATTCATAAGACACGCTTCTGTCAAGTAGAAGTGTATCTGGTTGCTAGCTATATTAAAGTGTCTAATTTATAAAAAGTGTCAAGTTTAAGGGGCTATCCAAGTATTTGGCCTAAATTAAATCCATTTGTTTATGCATTGGCAGTAGTGGCAGAGAAATTCTAATAAGGCTATCAAAGCACTATTAATTCTTTTTATTATATAAAGGGGATTCAACAAGTTTTTGTTTACCTATAAAACGGTACAGTTGAATTTATACGTGGTTTCTAGATAAGTGAACTAATTTGATCCTAAAATAATATAATAATTGAAGAAATATACAATACTTAGCCTTGAAATATAGATCAAACAACAGAGATGACAGTGCCGGGAATAAAATTTTCGGGCACAACAATGATGAGATCAAAAAGCAAGAAAGTAAGATTGTATTAAGTTTTGTATAGAATGTAATATAAGCTTAGACAGAAAATTCGTATTCCTTACAATGATTCTTCAAAGAACAAGAACAAAGCCGAGGACTTTGCTCCTCCAACGGTGAGTTCCATCATCCCAAGAAAACACAGTACCACAAAGGACCTTGAAGAGAAATTCCCTACTGCTAACCCTCGTACATGAGTTGTTAGCAGGTACCCTTCTTTCATTCGTCCTTCCAGTATCCCTGCTTTGAAGGAAGACTACCACTGCCATGAGTTGGATATCATTGCTCCTGATCTCTATCGGAGCGAGTGACCCTTCCCAAGGAAGGTTTTACATACTTTTACATGTATCCCTTTACTTTGGGTATGTTTTCTTTGAGTGGAGAGCTTGATTCCGCGATTGCGAAGTTTTGCCATTGCTACCAAATGTGTTTGGCACAGGTACGTCCTTCAGTGTGGAGGATGGTCGCCTGTCTTCGATGCTTGTGCCAGGAAATTGGAGAGGAGATAACCTTAGCTCATATGATGAATCTCTATTCTCCCAAAATCTTTCGCGGGGGAATAATAAACCTCTGCAAGCGTGGCCACCATGCTTTGCTGTCTAGCATGGATGATGACAACGACCGTGGGTGAATGGAATGGTTCATTACAGTCGCCACCAACGACATCATTCCGACAATGGCTTCATCATTTCTGGTCACTTAGAACCGTACCTGTAAGCTCTTTGTTTAGTATTTCTTTTTACTAGATATTCTTTTATGGCCGTATCAACTCTTCACCCTTCGCATATTTTAGAAACTCGATGGACCCCACCGGTGGTAAAAAGTTTGGACCGGTGGGTTCAAAAGATCTTGGACGTCACGACGCTAGAAACTCATTTGTGGAAAGAATTGGCCCTTAAATACGGGTGGAAGGACACAAATCATGGTAATTTTAATTTACCTTGCTTCCATTTTTTTGTATATGGAGAACTTGGTTGAACCCTTCTGACTTGTTCACGAAATTAGATCTACCTGCAGGCTCTGTTGCTGTCCCCTGGGAGTATGATTTGGCTGATCCTGGTGATGCAGCGAGGCTTCTTCAGGAAGCACGTACTCGAACATATATCTCCAGGCCTGTTTCGGGTGCAAATACTTTTTTATGGAGTCCCCGTCCGGATGATAAGCAACCAAAGAGAAGTCGTTTCTCCGCGGCTGAGGAGAAGAATAAGAGGGCAAAGACTAATGCTCCCGAGCCATCTCCGGTGGCGATGACGATTGGTCCTCCTTCGGGCTGGTCATAGACACAATGATGATTGATGATGATGATGAAGCTAGTGATGAGGGAGCTTCTCTACATAGAAGGCGACGATTCTTATCATCTCAACATGATGCTCGACCTGTTTAGATAGTTACACCAACTGAAGACGATGTCTCGGCACTTTGGGGATAATCTGATTTGGTAGAAAATGCCAACTCCCATTTTCGGGCCCCAATTTTTGTATCCAGTGCTGCGGGGCTGAGTATCAGGTCCTTGCCATCTTTGGTTGGCGAGCATCCAACAGCCAACACTGCATTTGATGCAGCTGCTTCTCACTCTTTAACTCCATCAACTTCATTCCCACCTTTACCAATACCAGCAACTGCTACATCACTTCCATCTTCATCCACTCTTCAACCAACAGTTGCTACATCACCTCCATCAGCCGTATCTGACCATGAAGAAGGTGTTCCTCTTCAACAATCCCCGGTTCATGGGAATTTGGGAAAAAATTATGCGGCCCCTTCTGAAGATCCTCAAAGAAGGAGGAACGTTACTCTTTTAGTCTCTACCGGATGCAACTTGCTATCCAGCCAGTGGAGCTTGCTAATTATCTGAAGCCTTTAGCTTCAGAAAAAGACTGGAAAAGATTCAGGCTCTCTTGTGAGAGTGCTTGTTAAACAACATCGTAGCGGTACGTT